CGACGAATGAGAAGTTTTGGCTTGTTTTCATACCGGCCACACTGGGTCCTTCCTCCCTTTAACTCGAGAACACCGACGTAATCGCCTTGAGTGGTGCAGACAACGGTCACTCTGGGATCAGGAATGGAACAGTATTGTCTTTAGTGACGAGTCTCGATTTTGTTTAGGCATGCACGATGGTCGTGCCAGGGTTAGAAGGCGACGTGGTGAAAGGAGGAATCCACAGTTTTTTGTTGAAAGACATGTTCATCACACTGTTGGAGTTATGGTTTGGGGTGCTATAGCTTATGGTTCCAGGTCACCTTTAATCTTCATCAGAGGTAACATGAACGCGCAGCGTTATATCCACGAAGTTCTAGAACCCCATCTTTTACCCTATCTTGACACCCTGGCAGATCCAACTTTCCAACAAGATAATGCCCGACCACATGTTGCAAGAGTCACAATTGACTTCTTTCAACATAATGATGTCACATTGTTACCATGGCCACCAAGATCTCCCGACTTATCCCCAATTGAGCACGTGTGGGATATGATGGATAGGAGATTGCTCAATTTGCAACGTCCTCCTCAGACTCTAGAAGCACTTCGAGAGGAGTTGGTGGTTGCCTGGAATGAGATACCACAGGAGGACGTTGACCACCTGATCAGAAGCATGCCTAGGCGCGTTGGAGAATGCGTAGCACATCAGGGTGCATCCACACATTATTAAAGGTCAAAAGGCTTTAAAGCAGTGCAATCATTTTGAAATTTTTATCATTTACTTATTATGCTTCATTAAGTACTTATACAAAATTTTATTAAAATAAAACCATTTAAACTGGGTGTTCGGATTTATATGTCACTTAGTATATATGGCACAGACCATATATAGTAATTTAATAAAGAACATAACATTCTAAAAAATAAAATAAAGCACAATTCTATCACAATATGGTAAAAATGTCCTGGTCAGGTATGTCACAGCCGGGTTACACTTAACCCATCAGATAGCGATTGGTAATACAATACAGAAATCTATGTACATCTTAAGGAGAAAAACAGATAAGAACAAGATCAGAAAATGTGTGAATTAAGAATTACAGTACATCATAATACATAGAAATGATAGGATTGAGTGGATAGTGAATTTATAAATAGTTTAATTTTGCTGCGGAATATAGACAAAGAATATGATTCATACACTTCAGGTATTGGATTATACCTGATAGCTAAATTATATGAAAAACTTCGCTTAAATAATATTTTTTTTTTGTGCTGAGGAACACTTATAATTTTGTGTTTAAACGGTCTAGTGGCCAAATCCTTACTGAAAAATCTTTTCTCTTAGGTATAAAGGCTTTGACGTATGCAACAATTTATGCATGTAAATCAAATAGTGATAGTTTACTAAATTCTCAAATTTCATCCACTTCAATATATGGTAGTTGGCTGAAACATGGTCAAATTTTCGAAATCCAAAAATGAAGCGTACACAATTATTTTGAATGATTTGGATAATGTTTTTTGTAAAGCAATCTAATGACAGAAAATAGATAATATCACATTAATTTAAAATAGATAAGCCTAAGCTCTCGCATAGTCTTTTTCGAAGTTTAAAATTCAGTAAATACCGATTTGTTATAAGAGTACGTAACCTGAGATACGTTTTTTTGGGACAGACTCTTCACATGTTCAACAAACCTCATTTTAATGTCAAAATATTCACGAAATTACATAAAAACATGGCCGTAAAAATAGAAAAAGTGTTGCATGAACCCACCATTACAACTTTCAGACACAAACGAACTGGAAGTGACGACCAAAGCGAACTGTCACAGTAAGCTCCACGTGCAATATCTCTATTATTCCATTGTACTTATTTAGACTATCTTAAATAAGGCAATAATTATTTAGGTCAGTAAGCAATAATTAACTCCCTAATATCAATTTTGAAAATAAACATAAAATAAAATATGGGATTGTCCAAAACGGACGCAGGAAAGTAAATGCATATTAAAACAAGAAAGATTGATATTCAAATCAAGTTGGGTACTTTATTTTGAAGGTTCATTTATACCATTTATGTATGAAAAATAATATCGCACAAATGTTCACCACGACTGGATTTACAGACGTCCACGCGATGGTCGAAATTTTCAATGACATGTTGCAACATGGTCGGTTCTATGGCATTTATCTCGGCAATGATGGTGTTTTTGAGTTCTTTTAGGGTGGCTGGTTTGTTGACGTAGACTTTGCTTTTCAAATATCCCCATAAAAAGACGTCCAAGGGAGTCAAATCGCACGATCTTGGTGGCCATGGCACATTTCCTCTGCGGGAAATCACGCGATCACCGAAGAAGGACTGCAACCGATGGATATTGACGTTGGTTGTGTGGCATGTTGCATTCCTTCACGTTGCGGCAAAAAATAGTCCTCTATGATCACGTGATATCGCTCAGAATTGACGGTAACGACGTCCCCGGCCGCATTTTCGAAAAAGTAAGGTCCGATGATGCCTTTTGACCACAATGCACACCACACAGTCACTTTTTGAGGACGCATCAGCTGCTATTGATACTCACGGGGATTTTCGTTCGCCCAGATGCGGCAGTTTTGCTTGTTTACCGTCCCATTCAAAGTGAAATGCGCTTCGTCGCTGAACATGATTTTTGATGAAAAATTGGCATCAATTTGGCGGTGTTCAAGGAGCCAATCTGAGAACGTTCGGCGCGAAAAATGGTCGGCCCGACGCAGCTCTTGCGTCAATTGGATCTTGTAGGCGTGTACATTCAAATCCTTGTGGAGAATGCGGAGCAAACTGGTTCTCGAAATGCCCAATTCTTGGGATCGACGCGTTGTTGATTGTTTCGGATCGTCTCTCACACTCTCCTTCACAACAGCATTATTTTCCGGTGTGCGAACGCTCCTTGGCCGGCCAGAGCCTGGCAGATTTGCCACAGAACCTGTTGCCTCGAATTTACGCACCAGACGACCGATGGTTGTTTCGTTTGGGTGGTTGTTGCGACCGAAATGTTCACGAACGTGTTTTTTATTTTTGCACCATTTTTGTAGTGCTCTTGAATAACTTTAATGCGGTCTTCAATCGAATACGACTCCATAGCGATCAATGGTAAACATTCAACATTCAACTAACAAAATGACATGTCGGTGACAGAAAACAAAGATGGCGTCTATGTCAAATTGACGTTTACTTTCCTGCGTCCCTATTGGACAACCCATTAGTAACAATGACAAATGCTTGTGAGGCTTCACAGCAAGAACATGGCGGCAACTGTCATCCGTTTGGCCGTCGAACTGTTCTGAGAGGCGTTCTTACCGATATATGTTTTGTATGTCAGACCGCCACTGACTGCCACTGCCACGTGCTTTGCGACAGCTGGTGGCTGGTGGTGAACTGGTGATGCAATGTTAAGCTAACATTGCATCAGAAGTGTTTTATAGATCCAGCAAGGATCAAGTTCAAGTGTCATTTCAGGAAAGGTGTAAATAGATTTATAAACGAAATCTGTCGCGCCTAGTTGTGTAGTGAACTTGAGTGGATTTCTTGGTTGAACAATTCATCTCCACTTCAGTTATCGTTCTTTGATTTCTTCTGATTTCGCAGTTGGTGAGTGATGAAATTTTGGTCCGAGTAAAGATAACATGGCCAGGGCCTGTGTGGACAACTGTTGAAATGTATTCTACTAGACTCTAGAAGACTATCCGTAGCGAAATTTTTGCCAAAATCGTTGCACAACACTTAAAAAAATGCCAATGAAAATTGGATAATTGTCGCTTTGACATTCTATATGGCTCCGTCGGTACCCCGGGATAGACATTGGTCTTGACAGATGACCTAATCAAATCCAAGCGAATAACCAAAATTTCTGTGTTATGTGCCGCGGTTATAATATGGTTCAAGATGACACATGGGTTGACGACGTCAGTTACTCGAATCGCTTGAACGCGTTGGTTTTAACCGCGGTTTTGTTGCAAGTTCTTTATTTTAGAAAAGCGCGTATATAATCTCTGATTATTTTTATTATCACTTAATAATCGGTGCTTTTTCGTCTACAACTGAATATAGAAAGTTCAAATAAGAAACCTTTCATAATATTCATGGGAGAAATGTTTTTTTCAGATTTTTTTTTTAATGATGGAACCATGGCCTTGTAGGTATGATAACTTTCAATTCTCTAAATTTTTCCGCATGTCAAAGAAAACATTTATTGATTCAGCAGAAATGATGAAAAAAGAAATTAGAAAAACCGTATACAGGTGGATATCATCTAGTGAGTTTATATGGCCATCTTTTAATATTCTTGTGGTATATGGCTACAGAGGATACTTTGTTAAGCATAGGAACTACATTTAAAGTGTCCCCAACAACCATAATGAGTATAACTAATAAGGTGCTCCACTTTATGGTAAAACTGAAGTCAGCCTGTATCATTTTTCTCAAAAATGAAGCTGAAGTACAATAACAATATCTAATACCCGGCAAAATTCTAACTTGTCACATTTCAAATAATAACCAGAAATATAAAACTACTCTTGAGTTGGGTAAATACCACAATTTTGCGGTGATAACTATGACATATAACAGCTGGTTCGTGACGTCACGGATCTTATAACCAAACTGATAACTACACTCGCTTGAACGTATTGGTAAATACCAACCCAAAATGATAAATACCATTTCCATTTGGTTATCCCCTTGAATTTGATTCTTGTCATTCTTACTACCTGAATTGCGGCGTTGCCAGCTCATCGGACGATTTTGCTACCTCTGCTATTTTGATAGAATGTTATAAAAAAAAGAAGTTATGAATAAATATTTATACCTCATGCCATAGCCTCCTTTACTTTGAAAGCCATGAAACTAGATCTGGCCACATTCCATGGCATTCACTTAGTGGGTCTATTGTGAATTGTCGAGGATATGAGGATACATATTTTTGTATGGGTCTAAGGGTGGAAAATAATCAATGAAACAAAATTGTGATAGAAGAAGGGTTTAATAGAAAAATTATGAATTAGTATATGTTTTTCACCTAGAACTAATCACTTATTGCACACAAATATTAATTATTTATAAGCTTGGATGTCAAAGTTAATAGTTTTCTTTTCTTGTCACTTTTTTCTTTGAGACACAAGTTGTTTTTAATATTTAATAAAATATTACATATAATGAATGTTGCAGCAGTATATATTTTCTTATGGGGCATACCACATTCACAAATAATCTTAAGGTCAATGAATACATCTGATTCTAAACTTTCCACAATTAGTGTACCTAAAATAGTTTTATGATCTAATTGGGCAAATAACATTTTCAAAGTATTTTCATGATCAATTATATAAGTAAAAATGGCACAGGCATGATGATAGATATATCCTATCTCATCAGCTGGAATGCAAAGACCTCCTCTTTGTAAATAATCAAAATAATCTAATTCCAACATGACACCTTTGCTCCTAATTAGTTTTTCCTGGCATTTTGTACAACTAATTTTTTTTATGAGAGAATGGCCCACATATGTATATTTTTACTGCTTCATCAACATCATAGCTAATTAAATAATCAGTTTCCAAAATAAAAAGAAAGTCTGATATATCCAGTGAAAATGTATCTTGCTCAGATGTTAAGGAAGAATTGCGAAGCTCTTTTAAATCAAATTCTGTGTTGCACGTCTTCAAAACATTCTGAAGTCTGATTTTCTTTTCAGATTCTAGAATTTGATTGAAAGAAATATGATAATTACATCCAGATAGATATCGATATCTACCAAACCTCTTTTCCAAATTATCTGTTTGAAATTTCCCACAAAGTACATACTCAACTGGAAAGTGTTCAAAAGAATAGTCTACAATTTTAATCATAACACTTGTACTATGTTTCAATCCATTGTATGTATCTTTACTGAGTCCAACGTTTTGAATATTTTGATGCCACGCATCCAACCAATTTAAAAATTTCTTCAAAAATTTAATATTTTCGTGAAATGGAATGATGGGACACGAGTGATCATTTCTTTTATGCGTACCCTTTAAAGTATTTTTTACATTTATGAACCTCCACCAATCATGCACTATTTGTAGAAAATTTGCTGTGCTGCTGTAACTACTGCAAGTTTTAAGGGCAGTGATTGTGGATTCATGGAAAACATTATTTGCCAAAACTACACTTTGTCTTTCTAAATTATTGGGATATAATGTTTTATCATTTAATTTGTAAGCCAACTTAGTTAATTTTTCTATTTCATTCTTATAAAAGCTTCTAATATTTTCAAATGAAGCTTTTTCTTGAACATCAAAATTATTATAATTTGGATACAGAAATGTATGCTCAAAATTTTTCAAATTCAACCAGTTATGATATATATTTTTAAATATGTGGACAAAATCAAATAGTGTAAAAATTTTTTCTGCAGGATCTGATGGATTTGAAAAATATACATCACCATTACAGAGACACCTAAAAACTTTTTGATTTACTCTATTGTTATCAGTGATTACACACAACACTTTAAACCCCTCCATTTGTATGTATCTGATTACATCTAACACTATTTGGGACAATTCATCAGCTGGTACAAGACGTACAACTTCTTTAAAATTGGCAAATGCAGACGATATCATGAATGTCTGAACTGATTTGGCCAGCTTAGTTGGATCATTCTCAGCAAACCCAGTCACATTCTTTGCTTTATACTGTAAACCAGTTTTTACATAAATTTCATCAATTAAAAGACATACAATTTTCTCTCTATCAGAGAGATTTGAAGCTGCATGTTGAAGGTAACTATTTTTTCTCTCTTTGTCTAAAATTGGTGAAACATTAAACTCTGAAGAAATTTGCTTTAAACGTCTACTCGTAGGGAGAATTAAATAATCTCTAATATGTTCATATGTTGAAGATGACTGATTGAAAATAATCAATGAAAAAAAAGTCGGCATATTATATACCTTTTTCGATGTAATGAGAGAAAGCTGGTCCTTTAAAAGTTCTAAAGTTGTGAGATGTTTACTGTTTTGTTGATTTAAGATTGCAATTGCTGATATCAGATGTTCATGTGCCTTTTTCAAATGAAAAGTACCATCCAAGTCAGTATGCTGAGCAAAACTATACCTTGTCAATAAATTTTCAATCTGAGACCATCTTTGAAGCTTCCGCTCTGGTAAAATCCACCTTAAGTCATTAGGAGATAATTCCGTGTTATGGAGGAATACTTGCACAGTCATGTCAGAATGAATGACTATACTATTGATAACCTTAACACCTTCCTCTAACACATCACAGTCAGTATTTAACAAATAAAAATAAAACACTTCACCACAAGTTTTCAAGCACCAGTTTTTCAGCACTGTTTTTGTCTGCACAAGTAATTTGAATTCATCAAAGTCTACAATCAAGTCATCATTTAAAAATGCCTCAATTTGATCAGTTTCTCTTTGGATGCATTCTTTTTGTCGTTCCTCTGGATCTCGACGTGCTTTCGGCTCTGGAGTACTCATATATTTTGGTAAATTTGCAAATATATGGGGTACAGCTCCTCTTTTCAATGTTGGCCGTGCTAGAGGGCGTTCTTGAAAAACACTATCCTTGTCCTTAAAAACCTCAAAGCGCCTTATTTCACCTTCTGTAAAATGCTTGCAGCATACCACTGAATGTTTTGTTATGGAATAGTTGTCACGGTGAATGGCCTTCAGCCATAACTTTTGAAGGGATTCTTCATTTGGAAAACAAAAAGTTGTTTGCAATTCTTCATTTTTCAGGGTACTTTTATAATTAGATTTGCAGCCTGGCACGCAACATAACCTAGGCATCTGAAAATGAAAAAAATACTATATAAATTTTGTTCTTGGTTCGAATAACACGTTATAGGTTCTTGAAATTATTATATCTGATGAAATGCAGTACTGTATTAATTTATACTAACATTCAAACAATTATGAGGAGCTGATTGAAAACAGATCTTTACAAATCTACAGCGTACAAATCAATTCACGTGCGGTCCAAATCACAATCACAAATGGAGCAATACCACAGCAAAACACAAACACGAGCAAAATGGACGAGATTGGCGGTAGAGGATAGACCCACACGTGGCGTTGCCAGATGTATGCTTCATGGCTTTCAGTGAAGGAGGCTGTGCTCATGCCCATAATTTCTACAAAATAAAATGAACCTTTACATACCTAGATACACACTATTTATACACATGGAAATCTACAATATAAATAATGGTTTTATGTTTATGTGCAAATATTGGACACAAGATATAAATATTTAAAAATTTGATAACAATTGGTAATGCAAATTTGCATAAAACATAAACACCACCAGTCATATTGTTTTGCTTGTACTTGCACATACAATGGTATTGTGAATTCCATATAGCTTTTTATTAGAATACAATCAGAAACTGGAAAATTGTAAAAGATAAGCTATGCAAAAAGATTTGTTGGCATTTACTGACTGGGGTTAATTGGTCAAGGTCATTGAATTCAAAGAGCAGTATTATACACCTTGTTCACAATATACCTATATAAAGTTTCAATTCTGATCAACAACTAAGCTCTAGTGCTAGTAAAAAAAAATTAGGCTCATGTTAGATTAAACAAAGATATTGTGGCCTGAAATATATATCTCATATAAGGAAGCTATGTCTGTGCTTGAAACAGCTCAAAAGAAAGCTTCAACTTAATATCAGATATAATGTGTATTGACTTGTTAGTAGAGATTCTGGTTTCGAACGCTGTGGAACGCGTGTCGAGCAGAAACAGAAAAACCGTAGACGAAAGGCAAACCTAGAGCAGACAAACAACCAAGTAGTGTGGTAAAAATACTAATCAATTTCTGTGTGTTAGTAACCCTATCCCCTTCTTGGTGCGTCAAAATCCATTTTTTTATATACTTTATCCCAAACATACTATTTTGTGTACTACCTATCACAAAAAAAAGGGGAACACAAAAGTGTAGAGGCATGGAAACGGACTCCAGGGGAGGGTCAACCCCCCCAACTAGTGCTGTAGATAATAGAAACCTTACACAAGCAGAGCTAGAAAATATAATTGGTGTCACAAACAAAGAAAAAGTCAACCAAAAAAACACTATAACGTAGATAAAAAAAATATGCTACAAAAACAGGGACCATTCATAGTTTTTGTCGAAGCAGTGGAAGGCACGGGGATTCGAGTAGGTCAAAGAAGGTATCTGCAGCTAGCAAAAGATATATTTCAATTAAATTTAACCAACATTAAACGCATACAAGTCAAGGGAAGGAATAGGCTGGGAGTAGAGCTCCTATATTACAAGTCAGCAAACTCTTTTGCAAATAAATGGGTAATATATATATATATATATATATATATATATATATATATATATATATATATATATATATATATATATATATATACAGTGAAAGCTCTCCTTGCGGACAGCTCCTATAAGCGGACATCTCTTTTAACCGGACAAAGTTCCTGGAACCGAATTTCAGCCATCAATTTTCAATGTTAAATGCATTCCGATAAACGGACGCTCTTATAAACGGACGCGGACACTAGATTTTCCTGTATGTGATCAAAAAATCTCCCATAAGCGGACGCGAAACTCTAATACCCGGACGATTTTTTAGTTCCGCTTATTGCAATGCACATATCTACATACATAAAATTCGGTAATTCCCCGATTTATATTAGGTGATTCCCCATTTACGCATTTCGTTGGGTAGCCTGTATGTAATCTTGTGGCTTGTCTTCAGTTCAGGCAAATTCGTAGTTGATTGAGTTACGTATTTTATTATTGTAACTGTAAAATGGCACCAAAAAAAAGGATGCTCTCGTTAAAGGAAAAGATGGAAGTTGTTAACGTATTAGACAGAGAAAGTGTTTCAGTTCGTCATTTGGCAAAGAGGTTTAATATTGGGAAAACGCAAGCAGCTGAAATTGCCAAAAATAAGGAAGATATCAGGAGTAAATGGCAATCAGGAACTAATATAAATCAAAAGAAGGATTTTTTCAAAAAGGAAGGTTTTGCTATAGACAAAACATGTTTTGAGTGGTTTGTGAAAGCTAGAAGTCAGAACATTCCAATCTCAGGGCCGTTAGTGAAAATGAAAGCTAAAGAAATCGCCACTACTTTGGGCTATAATAATTTCAGTGCGTCCGACGGGTGGCTGCAAAAGTGGCGCAAGAGACATAGTGTGAGTTTCAAATGCATATCTGGCGAAGCTGCTGCAGTAGATCAAGTTGATGTGTCACAATTTTTGGAGAAACTTCCGTCCATGTTGCTTGGCTACAAACCAGAAGATGTGTACAACGCAGATGAGAGTGGACTTTTTTTTCGCGCATTGCCCGACAAAACTCTGTCCTTTAAAGGAGAAACATGTGTGGGTGGAAAGTTGTCTAAAGATAGACTAACCATTTTATTCTGTGCAAATATGGCCGGTGAAAAATGCGATTTGATTGTGATCGGGAAAGCGGCTCGTCCCCGTGCTTTAAAAAACGTTGCTATTAAGGATCTACCAGCGACTTGGAAACCCAACAAAAAGGCATGGATGACCCGAGAAATCATGTCTGAGTGGTTAGTCGAATTCGACCGGAAAATGAGAATCCAAAAAAGGCAAGTTCTTTTATTTTTAGACAATGCATGCTCTCATCCTCGTGATATGAAAATGAAAAATGTGAAAATTATATTTTTACCGCCAAACACAACTTCTGTTTGTCAGCCCATGGATCAAGGTGTCATACAGAACTTTAAATTTTATTATCGGCACTTGATTTTAAAACATATTTTAACAAAAATTGACGATGGTCAAAGCTTATCTGAGCTTACAAAGTCTATCAATGTGTTAGAAGCTTTGTATTTTATAAAAACAGCATGGAATAAAGTAAATTCCTCTACAATTAAAAACTGTTTTGGCAAAGCTGGATTCAGAAAAAGTGAATGTAGCTCAGAATTTGCTGAGCAAAATTATTGCGATGCTGAAGACGATCTGCCCTTAGCGACACTTGCTCAGTTACTGCGACATGCCAAACATTTAGGAGTAGCAGATCCCCAGAAAGTAGATGATTTCCTGGCCATAGACAATAACAACAGAAGAAAATGCCATTGGCAACTTTTCGAATTTGGATGTAGAAAGCCCAGGCCAACTTGAATATGGTAGTCCAAACGACTCAGAAGAAGAAGTGGAACTGGTGGACTCACTAAGCGGTTCAAAAACGATAAATTCATATGGGGAAGCTCTAAATCATATTTCTATATTGAAAAAATTTGCTAAAGATGATTTCACTGCATTTCAACATTTGAAAAATTTAGAAAGTTATTACGAAAATTGTCTCATTCAGCAAAAGATGGTGAAATTTCGTCAGACAAACATTTTAAACTTTTTTCAACAAGCTAAAGAATAATGTTTTTTTTTAAATTCTCGTACCATGTATTGAAGCATTTATGTTTTTGTATGCGGTATATGTACATATATTATATATTTTTCTCATGATTATAATACCTCATTTCCTCATGATTAAGCGGACAAAAGTTACGGAACCGTGAGTGTCCGCTTATGGGAGCTTTCACTGTATATATATATATATATATACAGGGTGACTTCGAAGTTGAGTCATTTATTTTAACAGTGAGTAGATCTGATCAAAAGAAATGTTTTTTTCCTTTACCATTTTTCTGGTAAAATTAAAGTAACAAAGTTATAGCCCTTTGGAAGTTTGAGTACCGCCCTGTCTCAATAATAATTTTATATGTTCGTGTTTGGCGACAACGGATATAATCCGCCTGACCGGTTCATCGCATCGGAAACAAAAAAGCGAAAGAATTTGAAACGTTTATCACGATGTTTTTCATCAGTCGATAACGCGTTAGTGAATAGTAGTGTTTGTTGCGTGGCTCAAACGAAATCAAAAATGGCACATGTTTACGAAAATGCTGAACTTGTGGACATGATTCTTATTTACGGGGGGGGGGGGGGCAGTCTTTACAAAATGCTCCCGGATGCATCACGGATTTATGCGAATCGGTTTCCCAATCGAGTGCAACCAACCCCTCGTGCCTTTGTTAATGTAGTACAAAGGGCTCGTGAATCAGGTGACTTAAGACCTCACAGGTCAGGGCATGCTGCTCCAAGACCGCACGATCAAATACAGGTCCGCACTGAAATACTTGTCGGGACGATACTTTATTAAACAAGGTAACATTTTTTTTTTATTTATTTTTTTATTTTTACACACATATTTTGGTTTATCTTCCTTCTACAATCATTATCTGAAAATTAATGACTCAACTTCAAAGTCACCCTGTATATATATATATATATATACAGGGTGACTTTGAAGTTGAGTCATTAATTTTCAGATAATGATATATATATACAGGGTGACTTTGAAGTTGAGTCATTAATTTTCAGATAATGATATATATATATATATATATACAGGGTGACTTTGAAGTTGAGTCATTAATTTTCAGATAATGATTGTAGAAGGAAGATAAACCAAAATATGTGTGTAAAAATAAAAAAATAAATAAAAAAAAAATGTTACCTTGTTTAATAAAGTATCCTCCCGACAAGTATTTCAGTGCGGACCTGTATTTGATCGTGCGGTCTTGGAGCACCGGCATGCTCTCACCTGTGAGGTCTTAAGTCACCTGATTCACGAGCCCTTTGTACTACATTAACAAAGGCACGAGGGGTTGGTTGCACTCGATTGGGAAACCGATTCGCATAAATCCGTGATGCATCCGGCAGCATTTTGTAAAGACTGCCCCCCCGTAAATAAGAATCATGTCCACAAGTTCAGCATTTTCGTAAACATGTGCTTTTCATTTCGTTTGAGTCACGCAACAAACATCACTATTCACCCACGCGTTACCGACTGACGAAAAACAACGTGATAAACGTTTCAAATTCTTTCGCTTTTTAGTTTCCGATGCGATGAACCGATATCCGTTGTTGCCAAACACATAATATTATTATTGAGACAGGGCGGTACTCAAACTTCTAAAGGGCTATAACTTTGTTACTTTAATTTTACCAGAAAAATGTTAAAGGAAAAAAACATTTCTTTTGATCAGATCTACTCACTGTTAAAATAAATGAGTCAACTTCGAAGTCACCCTGTTTTTACAATTATTTTATTTAGTTCAGTTATACATACAGTCAGTGTCAGTCGGTAATGCGTGTGAATAGTGTCTGTTGCGTGGCTCAAACGAAATAAAAAATGGCACATGTTTATGCGGATCGGTTTCCCAATCGAGTGCAACCAACCCCT